TGCGTTGTGGTGAAAATTTATAAACCTTCTGGCATATGATTTAGACAATGAAAAAGAAAAGTCCTGGTTATTCAATGTGTCCTTAACCACATTATGAGAAGTCTCTAATTTGTTCCCAGACAGAGGACAGTTTAGATATCAGCTATTTCAAAGGGATGCACTTTGGAAGGATATTAGGATTAGGTGGGTGAGAAGCAAAGCCATTCAGACTGAGGAGGGGGCAGTTTTAAGTGAGCTGTTGAAGATGAGCTTCTTAACAGTCCTTGTTCCCATTTGTACCAGATGCCTGCTCCCTTCCTTCCCAGTTATGCACTTGGGGTGGAAGGGGTAAGAAAGAATAGAGCTCTGGTGCTGTTGGTCTCAGTTTTCGATCTCTGACCTCAGACTCCAAACACGTATAAGGGAAGAACATCCCCAGCGGCTCCTGCCGTGCTCCCACCTCTCTCATCTGCGTGGCAGGAATGATGGTGCTCTCAGATACTCCAGCTAAGCGGACCGCCTCTCATATTCTCTTTTTTCCTTTCTGCACCAGGTCATATTTCCAGGAGCCTTGTAAGCCCACATATGAGACCTGTTGCCCCAACTCCATTCAGATCCCCCCGGCTGTGCTCCTGCAGTGTCAAGTCTCAGTCAGCCAGGGTGAGATTTGGTGCAATACGCATCGGTAGAGATTTTGGCAAGGCCCTTTGAACGCCCACCAGGCCTTATCTGTGATATGCATACACCAGGTGACAGAACCAAACATTGGAATTTTTCACCATAGGTCTCCAGCACAGAAAATATATGAAGGAAGATTAAAAACATAGGTACAAAAAGGGGGCAATGAAAAACATACAGTCATGCCTGCCATCCTAATACGTTCTTCCAATCACCGTATTTTATTATATTCAGGGACAAATCTTCAAAGTGCTTTTGCTCCTTCAGGATGTAGAATTGGTCTTTTTTTTTAAGAATCTTGAAAGTTGTTCTGTTTTGACAGTAAATGAAGTTGTCTACAAGTTCATGAATCTTATGCTTTGATTGGATTTTAGATGTTCTTTGAACTGTTTAATGTATTAAAATTAGGCTATTTGTAATAGAGAGAGTAATTTTTTTTGCTATAACTCTGACATATTCCAGATTAAATTGTTTTCTAAAGATTCCGTGTACATATATCTGTACTTCCATACATTTGGAATCTGGTATAAAGGTCTAATCCAGCATTTGGAGGAAAGACTGTATTAACTTCAGGTAGAGAGTGCCAGAGGTGATTTTGTGTGGAACAACCCAAATAAATGCCAGTAAAATCTTTATCTCATACTGTACCATTACGTATTTTGTTCTGAACTTATTTATAGGAATTATCTCAGATTTTGGCAAAATTTCTGGGTTTTTTAAATTGTGTTGTTTTTCATATGCCTCCAGTCTCCCACATGCAGAGTCGTTTTTCCTTCCTCCTTGAGCCCAACTGTTCTGTGAAACTACTGCCTTCTTACTCAGGAGATTGGCTTCCTGTATGTGCTTACAGGGAAAAAGATGATATTCCTGAGAGTTGTGTAGAACCACAAATCCTTGGGGGTGGGGGTTAGCCACACTTTTTTCCTAAGTGGAACTTCAGAGGCAGGATCTTTCTAATTCATAAGTAAGACTATCTCTTATGCATTAAGAAGACGGGAATTTCAACAGTGTAAGCTGAACTGAATGAGAACTGAATCTGTCCTAGTATAAGCAATTTTGATTTATTCCTATTGCTTTAATTCCAAGGAGTAAGTTTTCCTTCCAACTAAGTTTTCCTATACACTTAAGAAACTACAATATCACAAAGCCTCTTATGTTTTTATTACATAATAAAAGCATAATAACCCCAGTAGAGATTGCTGTCCCATATTTCCTGTTATAAGAACCTGGTTTGTATATAAGCATATCAAAGTCAAATCTTTGCACTCAAATTCTCTAGGTGTCTACTAGAATAATCTTTTTGGTGAATGTTTCAGCTAATATAGCTCAGCTCTTTTTAAGGCTGAAGTAATGTGAAAAGGCACTCTTGCATTCATATTCATTTTAATTACATTTACCACGTCATCTCAGTAAAGTTAATTGAGGTTAAATTTGGCCCAGCTTATAATAAGTGTGTGCATGGCAGCTAAGAGCAGGGGGAGAATTTCTCCTCTTCCCTCTGATCTGCTGCAGAAGGAAGTTAGGTTTTCCTCACTCTCAACACAGGACCCTGTGGAAGGCGACTGGAGGAGTGCAAGAAGAGTAACCAGGTAAAAAAAGAATCAGGGACTGGGATTAAAGGGAGAATGGGAGCAGACACCAGGGAGACAGGAATACAGGGAACACTTTCTTTCTCTTCGCAGGTATGCCTGCAAAGCAGACAGCAGCTTCCTGTTACTATCAGTTTTACTCCTCTATGTTAAGCAATAGGGGCTCATGCTGACTATCTAAAGTTTCCTGGTTTGCTCTTGTGGAAAGACAAAGAGCTGGTTTAGCTCCATGGCAGGAGACAATGAAGTCTGTTTTACAGGAGAGATGAGTCTCTGCTACTGTTGGCACTGATGGTAACACACAGCAAAAGCTCCAAAACCTGAGCACATTGAAAGACCAGGTTGTTGTCTTCTTAGACTGGGGACAAGGAGGCAACATGAATTCCAGGCTTTCCTGAGTTTTAGATATTTGATTTTGTAACCCTGACATACTTTAAAAAATGTATAATACCAGCTGCAAAGAAACAAAATATATGAACTAATATATAAGGAAAAAACAGTAGTAAAGAATTAATAAAATAATGCTTTCTCTGCTATGCAGCAACTATGTTCAAATAGACAGGATTTTTCCTGTGCCTAAGTGTTAGTTGATTTGGGTTTTAAACATTGCAATATTTGAAGCTGGATGCCAAGGTGACTGACACCAGTAAACAGTGTGTAGTAGCTCAGTGGTGAGTACACCATGATTGTGCAACGTTATCCAGCAATGAAAGGTGAAATCTGAACAACAGTGAAAGGAAGTGAAAGCTGTAAAAAAAATAGCTGCATTTATTAAAATGAATGAAAATGTATAGCCTTTGTTTTGGACGGGATTCTCGGTTGGCTCAGTTCCCTTAAATCCATTCATTCTAGCTATTTCCAGCAGCTGGAGAATCCAGCCCAAAATGGAAGTTTTTTTCTCTCAGTTCTTCCTGTAAGTTTACAGCCTCCTTTAGGTTATTTAAAGGAGAAAGGAAGAAAGGGGAAATTAGATGTTGTATTTGTTTACCAGGGAGCTGAAGGGGGTATTAACCCACCTCATCACTATCACTGTTTGCACAGCCTGTGCTGCGCGCACTCTTACACCGTGTGATCCACTGAAACCGGAATGATTGCACAGCTTCTCCCTTTGGAGCAGGTCTCTGCCTGCCCCTGTTCGGAATGCTGCACGCAAAAACTTTTAGGATATGATTTGCAGACTTGTAGCCCTAAATCATACCACTTACTATGAAATATAATTTCAAATGTAATAGCTTTGCAAAGTTTCCATGATTGCCTTAAAAAGACATCCCCTAGATTTTGCAGGATACTCTGCAGAGTAGCACTTGAGAGTCCTCAAGAGTACATCTGTAAACTAATCAGTCCATCTGAAAAGAGTGAAGATTTAGCAGCTGAGCAGGGTGAAGTATTGCATATTCCAGTGTGCTCTTTGAAAGAAAGCTATGTTGCTGGGGGACAGCAGCTTTGATACTCAGAAAGAATTCATATCCATTATTAAGCCCTGATTCAGCAAAGTATTTAAGCATGTTCTGTTGTGCGCCTATTAGCTTTTCATTTGGCTGCTGCTTAAAAGCTCTACTGAGTCAGAAGCAGCAAGCCAAATGGAAAGGGGGAGATGAAGTTTTCACGGATTTGCTCACATAAAGCCTATTTCATGATGATGTTAAATGAGTATGAATAATAAGGATTCTTGCTTCTAACAAATTAGTGTCATGAGACTCCAACAGGGGTAAGAGTTCAAGACAGGTCATCTGGTTTTTGCAGGTTTTGTTTGCAACTGTAATAGTTAGAAGCTTTTTAAAAATAAAATAAATTTAAACAAAGCCGAGGTTTTGTCTGAAACAAGGTGGTCTAAAAAAGGAATACAAGCTTGCCAGCCTACTTTGAACCATCTTGATTTGATCCCTGACTGCAGCTACTGTTGTGCCTCCTGTGATTCCAAATAGTCACTGCCAGCTAATCGAGTACCTTAACCTTCAGATGCTGAACTTACTGTCTAGGTTGTGCCAGACTCCTTCAACTTAGGAGACGCGTTATCCTGTTTGTGTAGCTATATGTCCTCTCCTACTGCTAGCAGCTCCTAAGAATCGAGGCTTGAATTGTGGAGGCTTATTTTATGGACTCTTGGGGGCAATTGTTTTGTGTATTGTTTGAACTGATGGTCTTCTTCAGCTACTTGCGTGTTAGGAATTATTTGACCTGCCCACGAGCAGGGAGATAAGAGCAGCGACAGGTAAAGTTAGGATTGCACTGGTACAGTTAAATTTAGGGGGATGGGGACTGTATGGGGTTTGTTGGTACCGCTCCCTTTCTTCACCATTTTACTAACAATAATTTTATCCTCAACCACTCTGCTCATCTTATTCTGTGTTAAGTATTTTCCAGTCTGGAGAAAAATGAGCATCATGTATAGCTGGGTGAGGTAGGAGGGGAATTGAAAAATGATGAGTTTCTGAACATTTCTGTAGTCATGTCTTTGGTTCCAGTCAAATGAAGGAAGGTTCACATCTGGTATTTAGCTTGAGTGAGAGCTACAATTTCTCCACTGGCAATGCTGCCAGCAGTATAGTAGTTGTCCATGAGTTCAATCACCTTCCACCATGTTTTGTCATCATGAAAATGAACGCAATCATCAGTAATTGATGATTCTTGTCAGGTACTATAAGTGAAGCAAAGTGTTCTTTTTTAGGTGCAACAGCAGGTCTTGTTTCAGGCTACTAAAGGCATCTGCTATTTTTTCATTTTTATTCCACCTTTTTTTTTTTTCGTTTTTAGGGAAGCAATGTAATGGAGGACCAGGATCTCTTGGAAATAGGAATCCTTAACTCTGGACACAGACAGAGAATACTCCAAGCAATCCAGCTTCTCCCAAAGGTACAGTTTCTGTTATTATCCAAGCAGGGGAACTAACACCTACAGCTTTCACATTATTTAAAACACTTCTTTGAATGGAGATAAACATAACTCTATTGTTTTTGTAGACATGCTTTTTGCATATGCAAATGTGGCATAAAATAATGTCATTGCATTGGACTGTATAGATGTAATTGAGAAACAAAGCAAAGGAGAGTAAAATCTGTAATTTGAAGTGATGGCTGTTTAGAAGGTATTTTGATTATTTTGGGCTTTTCAATCTGTTTATAGATTGTCATTACATATGTGTAAATAAGGCTGTCGATGAATCCCAGATGCCTGTCTTTACATAGCAGTTGGCCTGGAAATACTTTGCCCCTTATATAAGTATTCTTAAAAGCCTTGGATGAAACACTGCTTTCCTAATACCTGCCTTTCATGTAAGATACGGAGACTTCCTGCAGGCTTCATATTTGATTTGCTGCTGTGTACATGAATCTTGCTTCTCAGCTGCAGAGTGAATAGCTTGCAGTCATTTCTCCAATCATTTTTGGTGCTAGCTGATTTAAACTATGGATTTTAAAATCAGTGATAGAAAGGGATTTTTCTTATATTTTGCGTACCAGAATATATCAGTGGAGGCTTCAAATAGCATTCCAAACAAGAGAGATAGTGAGCCTAGCGTGAAAACCTACTATTTGATTTTGGAAAGCTGTATAAGGAGGAGTAGACACCAGTAAGGCTCAGAAGGCTGCTACATGTGAAGCAGATACTTAGTGCAAGGTATCAGGGCAGGAATAAAACCTAGTGTAAATTGCATGGAGTGTCCTGGGACCAGCATGTGTAGAATAACTGAGGTAAATAGAGATTAGTCTGCTTGCAGTTTGATAATGTTGGAGAATGAGAAGAGTTATTAAAGGACTACTCAGTCTAGAGCATGAGGCTGACATTGCTGGAAGAGGCTTTTTCATGCATCAAAACTTACGGGATGGATCACTTGTAAAAGTGAACAAGGGTTTCTTCTGTATGGGGAAAAATCAGAAGTTGTGAACAATTTCTGTATCTGGATGTGTTAGTCAATCCATATATCCTACAATATTAGTCTATGCACTGAAACACCGAAGATTATTAAAAACAATAATGTTCCACATACCATATTAGACAAGTGAGATAAATGATACAAGTAGTAGGGTATATAAAAGTAGCAGGTGGTGAATTACAATAGATATTTAAGATTTAACTATGAATTTATGAATTTTTCAGCAATGCTATCATTCAAACAAAATTTTGTAATCTTGATCCCCACTTTTAGCTGATGAAATATTTTTTCTGGTTTTCATACTTCTTAGATCAGCTTTCTTGTCTTTTTAATTAAGTTTTTCAAAATTAATGAATGGATTGTTAATATATCATCATTTTAGTGCTACCTGCACTCAGTAACTGGTGCTTATGAAAACATTGTTAATAATGTCTGCTTCTGGAGAGTATACTAAAGCTGAGAACAGATTCTGTCAAAAAACTCCAACTTGAGGTCTTTTTAAAATGTGCTTGATGTGAGAAAGGAGGACAGAATCAAGATCTAGAGATGCTCTTGAAACCAGTTGAGAACAAGGTGGTTATGCAGTTACTTGGAAGAATCAACATCTTCTGAACCAAAGATAATTAAGTAACGCAGAACGGCTTTAAGCACAGTGAGGTAGTCTTTAGCAGCTTCCCTGTTGAGCTAGAAAAAACAGTCCTCAGGGACTACGTTTTTAACCTGTCTTTGATGTAAGACTGTTACGCCAAAACAAAGGCAGTCGAAAGCTGAAGCTGTGCATCACATTTCTTCACTTAAATGACTCAGCAACGCAAGAGAGCTTACATAGTAGAAATGCATAATTTCCTATTCAAAACCAAGTTCTTTTCAAGGCACAGCTGTCAGAATAGTTATGGGGCCCCAAAACTGGGATCATGGTAAGTTTTATCTAATGTAACCCCACCCTTGCTGTATTCACAACAGCTTGCTGAAGATCTAAAAAACTTTCACATCCTGCAAGGAACCGTGAAACATTTCTGTACATCTATTTGTTTGTTGATAAGTTCAGCTCTGTCATCATACATTCAAAATAGGGCATACCATCTAAATATTTTAAGATCTCAAACCGTAATTGGAGTCTCGCTAATTTGAATCTCATTAGGTAAAAATTCTTTTAGTTTGTTTGTTTTGAACATGTACCTCTTTTCTGTTCCTCATTTAATTTAAAATTTGATGACTCCTTCTGTTTTAGTACTTAATAGCATTGCTGATTATGTTATTTTTAGTTTCACTATTAATATTTCCTGTCTTGTGATACTTTTTAACTCAGATTTTGAGATGGAAGTTAAGTGCTTTAAAAAACATCTATGGAACATCACTTCCTTAGGGCCATATACTCAGGCAGTATTGAATAAGCTTAGAGGGCAAAAATCAAGCAACAAATCTATTGTCAAGGTTTTGCCCCTTATATAAGTATAAATACTCTTTTTTTAAAGCTCTTTTTGTTATTCTCATCAATATTCATCTCTGCAGCCTGAAAATGCAACAGGCATTTAGTGGCTGAAAAGAAACACTGTCTGGTTTCACTCATAATTGCTGGCTTCCTGAAGAATGAATTTCTAGATTTCAAACACCAATAGCCTGTTTAGGAACAACTTTCTAGAGCTTGAAGTTGTTTTAAATGGGAAAAAAACCCCACATATCTCTCCAAATATAGATGAATTAATCATTGTAGTTTCTTATGCAGTCTTTAACCAGTATAAAATGTATGTTTACCCAGATTTCTCAAAATATTTTTTCCCTAATGATTCTGAATTTGAGGAGAACATTTCCAAAGAGGGTAAACTGGTATGTTTGTAAGAGATAGGTAGAGTTGAAATCTTTCGGTTAGATTTCTGCTTTTCAAAATACCCTTTATTTTTGTTGGATTAGAGCTAGTAGCCCAAATTCTCATCTTGCACTGATGTAATTTAAGTTATTCAAGTTTCACATTAATATTAACTAAAGCTCTTTATGGCTTATTATTATTAGATAAGGTTAAGACACTCCAGTAGAAATATAATTTGTAAAGTTAATTCTTGAAATGGAAATATTTTATACATGACATCAGTCTTAGAGCAACTTCCGTAGCAGAGTTTGATATTGCATTTAATATTTTTTTGTGTGAAAAGAATGAAATCAATAAATGTTTGGAGAAGGATTTTATATGTTTTATTAAAAGGCAGTTCAGACATGTCAAGAGGTGGACACAATGTCTAAAAAGATACTGAAGTTGCAAGTAGAAGAACTTGAGAAAAAAATTAATACTGAGAAAAGAATTGTGTGCAGGATATTCTTAACTGACTAAGAAAATAGTAGTAGGCATGACATAAAATTTTTGCCACACTTAAGTGACATAGGAAACCTAAGGAGCATTGTCAAGTTATTTCAGCATCCAAAACCTATGTGCAAGTGACTTCTCAATGAATTCCTCAAAACTAAAATCTTTTTGAAAATAAGAATTATCCTAGCTTATCTGAGAACTTAGATAAGAAAAAGGATTGGTTTTGTGTGGGATGCTCCTTCTCCCAGCGCATAATGGGAACATGTTCTCTCATTTGACAGATGGAAAAAAGATGTTAGCTGAAAGCAGCTTTCTCCTGGCTTCAGAGCTATTCGTAAAGTATGCAGCTTGTTCCTTCCTGCACGGAGAGGTCTCAGCACAAAGCAAGTTTGGGGATCTCATAGCAGTGGTGTGCAGGCAGCCAAGCCTCTTTCCTGGGTGCTTTGCAGAACCAGACAAGAAGTAGGATATGAGCAGGCTATGAGCACACGCTCTCTGTGAGCAGTGTTATACGAGCAGTAAAGCTGTGCTTCCAAAAAGTGCTGGATCTATTACTCATATGTAACACTCTTTTGTGCAAGCACAGTAAGTCTGGCATTTAGGAAAACAGAACTACTGTGCATATGCACATTAGCTATGCTGTGTATGTAAGGGAGAAAGACCACATCATCTGTTTGCTATTGCTATGTTGCTATTGGCTTAGACATCCCAGATCTTAGCAAGCTGATTTGAATCTGGTGTTTAATTCTCTCCCATTTAACACAGCTAAAAGGTAGATCACTCCAACTTCCATTCCTAAAGACAGTGTCCAAATTAGGAGATGCTGCAAACTGGTATCATAACATTTATGACCCTTTCTGGCTGTGACTGCTTGGTTCTGCTCTTCTGGAAGTGAAGATGAAAAACAGGATTCAAAGGAGGTGCTTTCTACCGTGCTGTTTTTCCTCCTTCTAATGCCTCTGGGAATTACTTTCCTGGTTTGGAAGGAGGCCACTCAGCTGCTCGTTACACTGCTTATAAGACCTTTAGCCATAAGCACAGAAAAAAGTGTTAAAATCCAGCATAACACATGAATTTTTTAACTCTGAAACACAAATGTGTAGTCTACATTATTTAAGTAATGCAGCACAATAGGAAGGGATCAGTAAAACAAGGCAGTTAGATACATCCATGCTATAGGCCAGGGTGTTTACTTCAGACTAGCTTTAGACTGGTCCCATAGACCAAATATCCCCTCCATGCATGTGCTTCAAAACTGTGTGATGAAAGCAGTCTCACAAACATTTTCCTTCCTACCTAAGCCTATCAGTGAGCCACTCTAGACATGGCACGCTGTCATTTATCTGTATCATGTAGAGAACAGTAGCATGTCACTGGTCCTGCCACCATTGCCCATACACTAAGTCTTATTTCACTTCCTGCTTCTTTTATACTTTCTTATTTGTGGTTGACTCCACAGTGCCTACTGACTGCTCTGAGAATAGTCAGCAGGCAAAGAAATATGCTATATGAGAGGAAGCACTATTCTCTTTTTATGGCAACTAGACTAGGATGACAGCCTGAATGAGCTGACTTCGACTTTCTGCACATCCTTTTTTCTGAGAAAGAAGACATGGACAATTTCTTTCTGGGAGTCTTTGCTGGTGTGGCTGTTCTGCCCCAGACCTTCTCCCTTCATGT